TTGATGTGGACAATTGTTCCAATTTGTCAGGTCTTTTTTGGATCCTGTTTGTCATTCAGTGTTAACTGGCCCAGGGATAAATTATTTGTAATTTTGAGAAGCATGTTATCTATGGATTCCTTTAAATCCAAGATAATAATTCTGATTAGAATAAGGTGATACTCTGATGAAATTGAAAAAAAAATAATTTGCTATTGAAATTACTCATCACTAAAGACATTTGTGAATTTTACTTTGTCTCCTTCCCTTCATTTATTCTATTAACCCTAATATATACTTGAAATATAACAATATGTAATATTTCTCTCATTAACAACATTAGAATGTTTCCCTCTATTGTTCTGGATTAGAGGGATATATGGGTGGAAAGTGCTTAGATAAAATATTTTTATTGTGATCTCTCTTAACACTAGATGGGTTCAATAACTTCTATTCATATGCCTGAGTATAAGTCATTATGGTGACGTTAGGTTATCCAGAGATTTGAGTTAGAAGAAGATGAGCCTCATTCACAATGACTTACTTAAGGTATTAATTCTCACTTAAAAGCTATCAAAATAGGCGTTTCTAACAGTATTCTATGATATTTAAAAAGTGATCTCCTGGTAATATTATTTGACTCAAACCCACAAATACTTCAATTGCAATGCTTGTGTTTCCCCACAAATTCTTATGTTGAAATCCTAATCTCCAACGTGACGATATTAGGAGGTAGAGCTTTTGGAAGATAATTAGATCATGAAGGTGGAACCCTCGTGAACAGGATTAATGTACTTTTAAAAGAGACCCCAAAAAGTTCTCTACTGCTCTTTATGCCATGTAAGGATACAAGAAGATGGTAGTCTGCAACCTCAAAGAGGGCCCTCATCAGAACTCAACCACAGTGCCACCCTGACCTCCGATTCTTAACCTCTATAAAAGTGAGAACTACATTTGTGTTGTTTATAAGCAATTCAGCCTATGGTACTTTGTTACAGCAGCTGGAACAGACTGCGAAACCCAACAAGGATATTTCCCAAGAGGCAAAATTATATAGGCATGTTTTGATTTGTACCATAAATACAATTTTGAAAAACTGGACAACACTAAATAAGACAGTATTAAAACATAATATAGAAACTTGTTTTTAAAAATAAGCACGTTCTCTGAGGGATCCAAGATGGCCGATTAGGAGCAGCTCAGGGTTGCAGCTCCCAGTGAAAGCGCAGAGGGTGAGTGGACACTGCATTTCCAGATGGATTTTTATTGCCCACAGACCAGGAAATTCCGAGGCGGAGGAGTCCCACAGGTTGCAATTGCAGCTGTTTTGGATGGCGCAGCTGTTTTGCTGGCGCCCTGGCGGGGCAGTTCTCCATACAAAATACACGGGTCTGGGCACCGTTTTATCTGGCAATTGGAGCTCTGGGAAGGCAGAGTTGCCCATTCATCTGATTAAAAAGGGGACTGAAACAGGGAGCCAGGCCAGGAGATTCCCAGGCAAAAGAGTTCCATGAATCTCAGTGCTTCTGTTTAAGCCAGCACAGTGAGTTGCTGCACGGTAAATCACACAGATCCTGGCACCTTTTCAACAGGCGACTGGAACACCTGGGAGAGAGTTGACCTTTCAACTAAAAGAAAAGGCTCTGGAGGCAGGGAGTCAGGTGATAAGGCTCAGTTGGTCCCACCCTCAAGAAAACCCAGAAATTGGAAACGCTCTGGGTTGAGAGTTTCACAGCAAGCACAGCTGAACCCGGGAAGGTCCAGCTCTGTGGGGGAGGGGTGTCCACCATTACCAAGGCACTCCACAATATGGAGGTAGTCCATCATTACAGAGGTGGGCCACCATTGCCGAGGCAGTTCTAACTACAACCCGTATAAACAGGACTGCAGGGAAGTTCACACGGCAGCTGGGCGGAGCCCACAGCAGTTCAGCAAAGCTTCTGCAGAAAGACAGTGACTAGGCTGCTTCCTTGCTGGGCAGGGCAGCCCTGAAAAAAAGGCAGCAGCACAATGGAAACTCATAAATAAAGCCCTAGCTCCCTGGTACAGAGCACCTGGGGAAAAAAAGGGGTTTATGAGTTCTGCTGCAGCAGACTTAAACGTACCTGCCCAGGAGCTCTGAACGAATAATGGGGCTCACAGCTCATACTTGAGCTCCTATAAAGGACAGACTGTCTCCTCAAGCAGCTCCCTGACCCCCATATATCCAAAGAGTCACCTCATAAAGGAGAGCTCAGACTGACATTTGGCGGGTATCCTTCTGGGACAAAGATAGCAGAAGAAGAAATTGGCAGCAACCCTTATTGTTCTGCAGCTGCTGCAGGTGATCCACAGGCAAGCAGGGCCTGGAGTGGACCTCAGCAGTCCTACAGCAGATGGGCCAGACTGTTAGAAGGAAAACTAAGGAACAGAAAGAACTTCATCATCAACAAATGGGACATACACTCAGAGACCCAATCTGAAAGTCAACAACTACAAAGATGACAGGTGGATAAATCCACAAAGATGGGAAGAAACCAGCACCAAAAGGATGAAAACACCCGAAACCAGAATGCCTCTCCTCTTACAAGGGATCACAACTCCTCACCAGCAAGGGAACAAGGCTGGATGGAGAATGAGTCTGATGAATTGACAGAATCAGGCTTCAGAAGGTGGGTAATAAGAAACTTCTGTGAGATAAAAGAACATGTTCTAACCCAATTCAAAGAAACTAAGAACCTTGAAAAAAGATTTGATGAAATGCTAATGAGAATAGACAACTTAGAAATATAAGTGAATTGATGGAGCTGAAAAACACAACACGAGAACTTCGTGAAGCATACAAAAGTTTCAGTAGCTGAATTGACAAAGCGGAAGAAAGGGTATCAGAGGTAGAAGATCAACTCAATGAAATAAAAGGAGAAGGCAAGATTAGAGAAAAAAGGGTAACCCAATGTAAAGAAACTAAGAACTTTGAAAAAAGGTTTGACGAAATGTTAACAATAACACACAATTTAGAGAGGAATATAAGTGAATTAATGGAGCTGAAAAACACAACACAAGAACTTTGCGAACTATGCACAAGTTTTAACAGCCGAATCGATCAAGCAGAAGAAAGGATATCAGAGGTCGAAGACCAACTTAATAAAATAAAATAAAAAGACAAGATTAGAGAAAAAAGGATAAAAAAGAACGAACAAAGTCTCCAAGAAATAGGGGACTATGTGAAAAGACCTAATCTATGTTTGATAGGTGTACCTGAATGTGATGAAGGGAATCAATCCAAGCTGGAAAATACACTTCAGGATATTATTCAGGAAAACTTTCTCAACCTAGCAAGGCAGGACAATATTCAATTCCAGGTAATACAGAGAACACCACAAAGATATTCCTCAAGAAGACCAATCTCAAGGCACATAATTGCCAGATTCACCAGGGTTGAAATGAAAGAGAAAATACTGAGGGCAGCCAGAGAGAAAGGTCGGGTTACCCATAAAGGGAAGCCCATCAGACTCACAGCAGATCTCTCAGCAGAAACCCTACAAGACAGAAGAGAGTGGGGGCCAATATTCAACATCCTTAAAGAAGAGAACTTTCAACCCAGAATCTCCTATCCAGCCATACTAAGCTTCATAAGTGAAGGAAAAATAAAATCTTTTGTGAACAAGCAAGCACTCAGAGATTTCATCACCACCAGGCCTGCTTTACAAGAGCTTCTGAAAGAACCACTACAAATAGAAAGGAACAACCAGTATCAGCCTTTCTAAAAAATGCCAAAAAATAAAGAACATCAACATAATTAAGAAACTGCATGAACTAATGGGCAAAACAGCCAGCTAACATTAAATGACAGTATCAAACTCACATATATTGTTATTAATTCTAAATTTAAATCGACTAAATCCCCCAATCCAAAGACACAGACAGGGAAAAAGAGCCAAGACCCATTGGTATGCTACATCCAGATCCATCGCATATGCAAGGATACACAAAGATTCAAAACAAAGGGATGAAGAAAAATTTACCAACCAAATGGAGAGCAAAAATAAATAGAAAGCAGAAGTTGCAGTTTTTGCTGATAAAATGGACTTCAAAGCAACAAAGATCAAAAGAAGCAAAGAATGATATTACATAATGATAAAAGGATCAATGTAACAAGAAGAGCTAAAGATCCGAAATATATACACACCCAATACAGGAATACCCAGATATATAAGACTTATAAAGAGACTTGGACTCCCACACAATAATAGTGGGAGACTTCAACATCAATATTAGACAGATCAATGAGATAGAAAGTTAATATCAATATTCAGGACTTGAACTCAGATAGGGTATAAGTAGACTTAATTAACATTTATAGAACTCTCACTTTAAATACACAAAATATACACTCTCATCAGTACTACATCACACCTATTTACAGGTTTAAATGAAATATTGGTTGGCTGCTTGTTAATTATTTTCTTCCCTCATTTTTGTTTTTTTTACGTCTCTATTATTAAACACAATTACAGGCATACCCATTTTTAGACTGCATTCTAGCCTGGGCAATAAAGCAACACCCCTGTTCTCTCTTCCTCTTCCTCTTCCCCTTTCTTCCTTTCCTTCATTCTTTTTTTTTTTTTTTCTTTTTCTTTTTTTTATTCTTTCTCTTTCTTTCTCTCTTTCTTCCAAAAAAAAAAGAAAAAATAGAAAAAAGGGTAAAAAGGAATGAACAAAGTCTCCAAGAAACATGGGACTATGTGAAAAACCTAATCTACATTTGATAGGTGTACCTGAAAGTGATGGAGAGAATGAATCCAAGCTGGAAAATACTATTCAGGATATTATCCAGGAAAACTTCCCCTACCTAACAAGTCAGGCCAATATTCAAGTCCAGGAAATACAGAGAACGCCACAAAGATATTCCTTAAGAAGAGCAACCCCAAGGCATATAATCGTCAGATTCACCAGGGTTGAAATGAAGGAGAAAATGCTAAGGGCAGCCAGAGAGAAAGATTGGGCTACGCACAAAGGGAATCCCATCAGACTCACAGCACATCTCTCAGCAGAAACCCTACAAGACAGAAGAGAGTGGGGGTCAATATTCAACATCCTTAAAGAAGAGAATTTTCAACCCAGAATTTCATATCCAGCCAAACTAAGCTTCATAAGTGAAGGAAAAATAAAATCCTTTGTGAATAAGCAAGTACTCAGAGATTTCATCACCACCAGGCCTGCTTTACAAGAGCTCCTGAAAGAGGCACTAAACATAGAAAGAAACAACCAGTACCAGCCACTCCAAAAACATACCAAATGGTAAAGAGAATCAACACAATGAAGAAAATGCATCAACTAATGGGAAAAACAGCCAGCTAGCATCAAAATGGCAGTATCAAATTCACACATAAAAATATTAACCCTAAATGTAAATTGGCTAAATGCCCCATTCAAAAGACACAGACTGGCAAATTGGATAAAAAGCCAAAACCCATCAGTGTGCTGTATCCAGGAAACCCATCTCACATGCAAAGATACACAAAGGCTCAAAATAAAGGGATGGAGGAAGATTTACCAAGCAAATGGAAAACAAAAACAAAACAAAACAAAACAAAAAAGCAGGAGTTGCAATTCTCATCTCTGATAAAATAGACTTTAAATCAACAAAGATCAAAAGAGACAAAGAAGGATATTACATAATGGTAAAAGGATCAATGCAACAAGAAGAGCTAATGATCCTAAATATATACATACCCCATACAGAAGCACCCAGATACATAAGGCAAGTTCTTAATGTCTTACAAAGAGACTTAGACTCCCACACAATAATAGTGGGATACTTTAACACCCCGTTGTCAACATTAGATAGATCGACGAGACAGGAAATTAACCAGGATACTCAGGACTTGAACTCAGACTTGGACCAAGCAAACCTAATAGACATTTACAGAACTCTCCACCCCAAATCCACAGAATATACATTCTTCTCAGCACCACATCACACCTACTCTAAAATTGACCACATAATTGGAAGTAAATCACTCCTTAGCAAATGCAAAAGAATGGAAATCATAACAAACAGTCTCTCAGACCACAGTGCAATCAAGTTAGAACTCAGAATTCAGAAACTAACTCAGAACCGCACAGCTTCATGGAAACTGAACAACTGGCTCTTGAATGTTGACTGGATAAACAATGAAATGAAGGCAGAAATAAAGATGTTCTTCGAAACCAGTGAGAATAAAGACACAACATACCAGAATCATGGGACACATTTAAAGCAGTCTCTACAGGAAAATATATAGCAATAAATGCCCACATGAGAAGCAAGGAGATATCTAAAATTGACACTGTATCATCAAAATTGAAAGAGCTAGAGGAGCAAGATAAAAAATAAACTCAAGGGTGATCGGGGAAGATGGCCGACTAGGAACAGCTCAGGATTGCAGCCCCCAGTGAAAGTGCAGAGGGTGAGTGGACGTCGCATTTCCAGATGGATTTTTATTGCCCACACACCAGGAGATTCCCAGGTGGAGGAGCCCCATGGGTTGCCAGCGGGCTGTTTCTGCCGGCGTGGCTGTTTTGGCCAGCGAGGCTGTTTTGGCCTGCGCGGCTGTTTTACCCATGCCCTGAAATGGCGGTTCTCCGTACAAAAGACACTGGTCCGGGTGCCCTCTTAGCTGGCGATTGGAGCCCTGAGACAGCAGAGTCACCCATTCGTCTGAAATAGAGAGCCAGGCCAGGAGTTTCCTAGGCAAAAAAACCACCAGGAATTTCAGCGCCGCTGTTTCAGCCAGCTCAGTAAGTCATGGTACGGGAGATCCCGGCGCCATTTCAACAGGTGACTGGAACACTGGGAGAGAGTCGACCGTTCCACAACAACAAAAAAGAAAGACTCTGAGTCAGGGAGCCAGGTGATCAGAATTGGCTGGTCTCACCCCCCACCCCCACCAAAAAAAAACCAAAAAAAAAAACAGTAATCGAAAACGCTCTGGGTTGAGAGTTTCACAGCAAGCACAGCTGAACCTGGGATGGTCTGGCTCTGTGGGGGAGGGGCGTCTGCCATTACTGAGACACTCCAACACTACGGAGGCAGTCTGATCATCGCTGAGGCAGCAAGCCGTTGCTGAGGCAACCCGCCGTTGCCGAAGCAACCTGCCACTACAGAGAGACTCCGCCATAACAGAGGCGGGCCACCATTACCAAGGCAGTTCTAACTATACCCATATAAACAGGACTGCAGGGAAGATCACAGGGCAGCTGGGCAGAGCCCAAAGCAGTTCAGCAAAGCCTCTGCAGGCAGACAGTGACTAGGCTGCCTCCTCGCTGGGCAGGGCAGCCCTGAAAGAAGAAAAGAGGCAGCAGCACAATGAAAACTCATAAATAAAGCCCTAACTCCCTGGGACAGAGCACCTGGGGGAGGGAAAAAAAGGGAGTTTTTGAGTTCTGTTGTAGCAGACCTAAACATACCTGCCCAGCAACTCTGAATGAACAACGGAACTCACAGGTCAGGACTTGAGCTCCAATAAAGACTATCTCCGCAAGCAGCTCCCTGATGCCCGTATATCCAAAGAGTCACCTCATAAAGGAGAGAACAGACTGACATTTGGTGGGCACCCTTCTGGGACAAAGATAGCAGAAGAGGAAACTGGTAGCAACTCTTACTGTTCTGCAGCTACTGCAGGTGATCCTCCGGCAAGCAGGGCCTGGAGTGGACCTCAGCAGTCCTACAGCAGAGGGGCCAGACTGTTAGAGGGAAAGCTAAGAAAAAGAAATAACTTCAGCATCCACAAACTGGAAGTTCACTCAGAGACCCTATCTGAAAGTCAGTAACTACAAAGACAACAGGTAGATAAACCCACAAAGATGGGAAGAAACCAGTGCAAAAAGGATGAAAACACCTGAAACCACAACACCTCTCCTCCTAAAAGGGATCACAACTCCTCATCAGCAAGGGAACAAGGCTGGATGGAGAAGGAGTGTGATGAAATGACAGAATCAGACTTCAGAAGGTGGGTAATAAGAAACTACAGTGAGCTAAAAGAACATGTTCTAAACCAATGCAAAGAAATTAAGAACATTGAAAAAAGATTTGACAAAATGCTAATGAGAATGGACAACATAGAGAGGAATATAAGTGAATTGATGGAGCTGAAAAACACAACACGAGAACTTCGCGAAGCATGCACAAGTATCAACAGCCGAATTGACCAAGCAGAAGAAAGGATATCAGAGGTTGAAGATCAACTCAATGAAATAAAACAAGAAGGAAAGAATAGAGAAAAAAGGGTAAAAAGGAATGAACAAAGTCTACAAGAAATGTGGGACTATGTGAAAAGAACTAATCTACGTTTGATAGGTGTACCTGAATGTGATGAAGAGAATGAATCCAAGCTGGAAAATGCTCTTCAGGATATTATCCAGGAAAACTTCCCCAACCTAGAAAGACAGGCCAAATTCAAGTCCAGGAAATACAGAGAACACCACAAAGATATTCCTCAAGAAGAGCAGCCCCAAGGCACATAATTGTCAGATTCACCAGGGTTGAAATGAAGGTTGAAATGAGGGGCAGCCAGAGAGAAGGTCGGGTTACCCACAAAGGGAAGCCCACCAGACTCACAGCAGATATCTCAGCAGAAACCCTACAAACCAGAAGAGATTGGGGGCCAATATTCAACATCCTTAAAGAAAAGAACTTTCAACCAAGAATCTCCTGTCCAGCCAAACTAAGCTTCATAAGTGAAGGAAAAATAAAATCCTTTGTGAACAAGCAAGTACTCAGAGGTTTCATCACCACTATAATTGCCCACATGAGAAGAAAGGAGAGATCTAAAATTGACACGTTAGCATCAAAATTGAAAGATCTAGAGGAGCAAGATCAAAAAAACTCAAAATCTAGCAGAAGACAAGAAATAAGACAGAATGGGAAAAAATTTTTGCAGTCTACCCATCTGACAGAGGGCTGATATCCAGTATTTACAAAGAACTAAAACAGATCTGCAAGAAAAAAACAAACAAGCCCATTCAAAAGTGGGTGAAGGATATGAACAGACACTTTACAAAAGAAGACATACATGAGGCCAACAAACCTATGAAAAAATGCTCATCATCACTGGTCATTAGAGAAATGCAAAACAAAACTACATTGAGATACCATCTCACGCCAGTTAGAATGGTGATCATTAAAAACTCTGGAGACAACAGATGCTGGAGGGGATGTGGAGAAATAGGAACACTTTTACGCTGTTGGTGGGAGTGTAAATTAGTTCAACATCTGTGGAAGACAGTGTGGCAATTCCTTAAGGACCTAGAAATAGAAATTCCATTTGACCCAGCAATCCCATTACTGGGTATATATCCAAAGGATTATAAATCATTCTACTATAAGGACACATGCACACAAATGTTCATTGCAGCACTGTTTACAATAGCAAAGACCTGGAACCAACCCAAATGCCCATCGATGATAGACTGGACAGGGAAAATGTGGTACATGTACACCATGGAATATTATGCAGCCATCAAAAACGATGACTTCCTGTCCTTTGTAGGGACATGGATGAACCTGGAAACCATCATTCTCAGCAAACTGACAGAAGAGCAGAAGATCAAACACTGCATGTTCTCACTCATAGGCGGGTGTTGAACAATGAGAACACATGGACACAGGGAGGGGAGCACTACACACTGGGGTCTATTGGGGGGAAATGGGGGAAGGATGGGGGTGGGGAGTTGGGGAGAGATAGCATGGGGAGAAATGCCAGATATAGGTGAAGGGGAGGAAGGCAGCAAATCACACTGCCATGTGTGTACCTATGCAACAATCATGCATGTTCTTCACATGTACCCCAAAACCTAAAATGCAATTAAAAAAAACAACTCAAAACATATCAGAAGACAAGAAATAACTAAGATCAGAGCTGAACTGAACAAGGTAGAGGCACAAGAAACCCTTCAAAAAATCAAAAAATCCTGGAGCTGGTTTTTCGAAAAGATCAACAAAATAGACAGACCACTAGCCAGATTAACAAGAAAGAAAAGAGAGAAAAATCAAATAGATGCAATAAAAAAACAATAAAGGGGATACCACCACAGATTTCACAGAAATTTAAACCATCATCAGAGATTATTACAAACAACTCTATGCACATAAACTAGTAAACCTGGAAGAAATGGATAAGTTCCTGGACACTTGCCTGCTCCCGAGCATAAACCAGGAAGAAGTCAAAACTCTGAATAGACCAATAACAAGTTCTGAAGTTGAGGCAGCAAGTAAGAGCCTACCAAGCAAGAAAAGCCCAGGTCCAGATGGGTTCACAGCCGAATTCTACCAGACATACAAAGAGGAGCTGGTAGCATTCCTTCTGAAACTATTCCAAATAATCCAAAAAGAGATAATCCTTCCCAAATCATTTTATGAGACAAACATCATCCTGATACCAAAACCCGTCAGAGACTCGGCAAGTAAAGAAAACTTCAGGCCAATATTCATCATGAAATAGATTCAAAAATCTTCAATAAAATACTGGGAAACTGATTGCAACAGCACATCACAAAGCTTATCCACCATGATCAAGTAGGATTCATCCTGGGGATGCAAGGCTGGTTCAACATATGCAAGTCTATAAACATAAGTCACCACATAACAGAACCAAAGACAAAAACCACATGATTATCTCAATTGATGCAGAGAAGGCCTTTGACAAAATGCAACAGCCCTTTATGCTAAAAACCCTCAACAAACTAGGTATTGACAGAACATATCTCAAAATAATAAAAGATATTTATGACAAACCAACAGCCAATATCATACTGAATGGGCAAAAACTGGAAGCACTCCCTTTGAAATCTGGCACTAGACAAGGATGCCCTCCCTCACCACTCCTATTTAATATAGTACTGGAAGTTCTAGCCAGAGCAATCCGGCAAGAAAAGGAAATAAAGGGCATTCAAATAGGAAAGGAGGAAGTTAAATTGTCTTTATTTGCAGATGACATGATTGTATATGTAAAAGACCCCACCGTCTCAGCCCAACATCTTCTGAAACTGATAAGCAAGTTCAACAAAGTCTCAGGATACAAAATCAATGTGCAAAAATCACATGCATTCCTATACACCAATAACAGACTTAAAGAGAGCCAAATCAAGAACGAACTGCCATTCACAATTGCCACAAAGAGAATAAAATACCTGGGGATACAACTAACAAGGAATGTAAGGGACCTCTTCAAGGAGAACTACAAACC